TACATCTGGTAGATTAATTTGTTCTGAACTAGTAATAAAGTTATAAAAATGTTACGCTCTTGTTTTTACTCCTTCAATTACATTATTTTAATTGAGTTAGAGCCGTGTTTTAAGGGATGGCGACGAGAAACGGATTGTTTTTTAAATTTGCTTGGTATTGATAGCACACTGAGTGGTTTCCAAGTTGCTCAGTTGTTTACTCGTACAACATGCCTCTTGTAGCTTGAAGAGACAGTGATAGGCATGAGCCATTCTCCTCACCAGCAGCGTGTCTTGAAGGAGATATGCTGCTTACCACAAGTTTGTCAATCTAAACATGCTAATGAAGCGGTGTATCTTCCTATAGGCCGTGTGGTCCGCGGCCATGGTGTACGTTTTCCCTAAAAAGTGAACAAATATAATTTATCAACTTTCAATTTCTAGTACATGTAAATCCCTAACATATTTATTAAACTAAATACATGTCAAAATTCACCTCTGACAACCCTGTAAAAAAAGATTTTGGGGTGTACATGCCCCAATACCTTGAAGTCGGCCTAAACGTTTAACTCCAAGCTACAACCCTGTTCTCGCCGATAGACTCGCGTTACATGCTGGTCACCTCAAGATAAGTGATGATGACCGAAAAAATCTAATAAGACATGCTGGCCATAACGATTAAGTTTTGAAAACACCACGAATAAGATGCATTAGACTTGCTTCTCAAGGCTGCTAATCACGGTTTTGTTTTGGAGATCCAAATAGACTAAGCATACATAATGCTCAGCACAAGCGTGTCTAGAAGAGTCTTAACATAATAAAGGAGATACTCTGTTTAGAACAAATATGTCTTGAAGACACAGAGTCAAGCGAGATATACTGTTGAATAGAAGCGTGCCTAGAAGCCACTGACAGACTCAAGTCTAGAAGTCATGGGAACAAAGGCGTTTTTAAAGACACTAACAGAGTTATAGAAGATATACTTTGAACCAGACGTGTTTTAAAAACATACTGTTGAACAAAAGCGTGTCTTGCAGAACCCGAAATATCTTACCCGCCACAAATGTGTCTTTAAAGACACTAATAAATTCAGAGAGGATATGATGTTCATTGCAAGACTGTCTTGATGACTATTACAGACACAAGCACAATAAGTGTGTCTTCAGTCTTAACACATGTTACCCATCACAGATTTGAAGACACTAACAGACATTCTGCTAATAATAAATTTGTCTTGGTAACACAGAAAAGCTCACGAGATATTTCGCTCGCCACAAGCATATCTTGAAGACTCAAACAGGTTCGGTAGATGGAAGCACGTAAAGAAGACACAAAAAGGCACATTATAGATGCTTTTGCATTGAAGACATCAATAAACCCGTGATGCATGCTGCTTACCACAAGCATGTTTTGAAAACAACAATAGATAGACACAGTCGCAGGAAACATTCTCGTCACAAGCTTGTCTAGAAGGCACTGATTATTACATGAACTTTTTCATCATATTTGTAGAAACATTAATTATATTGTTCAATAAAGGTTTGTATTGGACTCAAAAGACTTATACTAATCATCAAGAGTATAAACAAGCAAGTTCGTTGAATTAATATCCCCCGCCGAGTAGTGGATATTAGTAACACAACAACTGGAGAAATAAGGCTTTATTTATATAAATTTATCATGGCATGCAAATTTCCTTTTCGTAATGATGAATCCCATAAAGTCTTGTTGAAATCAATCCAGCAGTCGAAAAGAAATAGCAGCTCTATATGCATACTAAAAAACTAATCAAGGGCAATAACTCTGTCTTGAATGCGGCAATGATATGCCCATCTCCCCATAGTATTTATTGTTCCAATAAAGTTTCATTGAATTCCAGCCAGTCGTTGCAGAGAAATAGCGCGGAAACGATTATTGCTCTAAATACACACTGCATAACTAATCAAGGGTCATAACTCTGAGTTAAAAGGTCTGACCGGAACAAGGCGGCGATTACGCATCTCCTCTTGGTATTGAAGGTTCTCATAAAGTTTCGTAGAATTTAAGCCCGTGGTTGCAGAGAAGTAGCGCGGAAACGATTATTGCTCTATATGCATACTGCATAACTAATCAAGGACCATAACTCTGAGTTAAAGTGTCTGACCGGAACAAGCCGACGATATGCGCATCTCCTCTTGGTATTGAAAGTTCCCATAAAGTTTCGTTGAAATCCAGCCAGTAGTTGCAGAGAAATAGCGCGGAAACGATTATTGCTCTATATGCATATACTGCATAACTAATCAAGGGTGATAACTCTGAGTTAAAAGGTCTGACCGGAGCAAGCCGACGATTTGCACATCTCCTCTTGGTATTGAAGGTTCCCATAAAGTTTCGTTGAATTCCAGCCAGCAGTTGCAGAGAAGAAGCGCGGCTCTATATGCATACTGCATAACTAATCAAGGGCCATATCTCTAAGTTTAAGGGTCTGATTGGAACAAGCCGACGATATGCGCATCTCCTCTTGATAGTGATGATTCCCATAAAGTTTCGTTGAATTCCAGTCAGTGGTTGCAGAGAACTAGCGCGGAAACGAAATTCGGATGGACGGAAGGACGTATGGACGGACGGACGGAAGGACGGACGGACAACGCCAAAACAATATGCCCCTCCAGATTCCATCGGCGGGGGATAATAAGAACCGATGCTCATTATAATCTTGTCTTGAAGACAGAATTTGCAAGACCTTGCTTGGAGGCTCTTTAAGACTCGTTAGAAACGCTCCTCGTTACAAGCCTTGTTGTAGTAACTATTAGGGTATTTATAAATGCTGCTTACACAAAATTGCCTTGAGATGAACAGCATGCCAAATGAATCATTTAACTAGTGTCTTTAAGGCAATTTTGTGGTAAGCAGCACATAAGAGACAAGCATAGAGTCCTATACTAGTACATTATTTCATCACAACATGATTTTTTTTTTTTTTTTTAACATGCTACTCACTGCATGCATGTGTCTTTAAATTTTCTTGGAACGGGAAATACCTCGGGAGTAATTAAAACAAAACTAAACATTTGAAAATTGCTGTCTGCTGATGAGAGATAATAAAATGTGCAATATTTTTCATGTCCCAAGTATACTGAGAATGAAATATCAAAAAGCATTTATATTACCTTCCGGTATAAAAATTCTGAAAAGGGAGCGATGAAACACCCTGTTGAAAATCGTAGACTAGGTTCTGGTTATGAGAGATTATGATGAAAAGCGGAACATATCTTATGTCCCCTAGAAACGGCTGAATCTTATACGGACAGTTAAAATTAAAGCGTATGTTCGAGGCACTTATAGACTTATTGCAAATGCTACTCATTACAAAGTCTTTCAGACACTGAAACTAAAACAATTGCGAAACATGCTCATCAGTTTTACCTTGAACATGCCATCAAGAAATGTATCTCGAATAGCCTTGTGCAGATAACGAACTTATTAGTTGCATGATAGGTCGATGCGCAAGTTTAACTAGGCAATAAAAAATCGTGCAATTTCTCATGCAAAAAAGCCACTTTCTTTCTTTGTCCTTTATCCATGCAGATAACTTGATAACCATCTCCCCTAACCAAATAATATTACTACAGATGACTCATAATAATTAAATTTCAACAAAATCGCCAAAAAGTCAAACCGAATTGTAGATTCTAGTTTGTTCACGCTTGTAAACGTCATATAATTTACCATTGAATGATTGGCAATATTATCCTTATCATGTTTTTATTGTTTTTGTAACAAACATAGTAAAAACAATTGTTACAAATATAATTATAATCGTTTATGATACGGAATCAACATACTTTAGGGTAATTCGGTACTTTCGAAGAGTCATTTCATTTCCTTTAATATTTTTCGGATTAAATTGTAAAGTTTTAAATTTTATCATACATGTTCATAGAGTACTCAGTCAAACATTAACCACCACTTTGATATAGATTTTGCAGCTGTGTACAAGTCCAACAGAATCAGTATTGTACTCAACAATGTTTAATGGCCACTTTAATTCACACCACCATTTCTTGACACAGCTTTGTGATTTGATATGGCTACTGGACTCTCACAAAAAAAATGAAACAAGACTAGATTGGGTGCGATATATGGACTTGATATAAACCATTTTTGAGCTCTGAAAATGAAAACGATTCTATATGGGGAGTGATATGGATTTGATGGGAGCCTTTTGGACTCTGGAAATAAGACGAGCCTTAATGGGGTGTAATATGGCTTTGAGATGTGGACTCTGGAAATGAACACGAGGCTACATGTAAATTGGTAAGATTTGATCCACTAATTTATGCTTTCTATTGGAAAACTTCTGGCGCAAATGCTGAAAGTGCAGTGCTTGTATTTCATAATGTGTGAAATAAAAGAGACTATAGTTATAAATAATGATATAACAATTTGAACCATTGACTGCCTAGTCAAAAAGTTCATATTTCTTATAAGTAGGGACTTATCGTTATTATAAGTCCCAGTTATAATGAACTTAAACTAGGGATGAAACATCATGACATGGACAATATCAGAAGTGAAAGAGTCACCACCATAGCAGAACTTTCACTTTATATTAATTAATATCAGGGTTACTGTCTGAGCCACCCACTAATATAAATGGTGCTGTATCAGGTATAATATATGCCCTAAAGATAATCCTTAAAGAGTTTATTTTGAAACACTCATTTTGTTAAAATTAACGTTTTTTCTCCCGTATTATAATTATGTGAAAAATAAGGCACTTGTATCAATTAAAGTATTTTAGTGGGACCGGTATCAAAGTACATTATCGGGCTATTTCTGCTTTAACAAAATATATATTGTTTTCATCGATAACTATAAAATCCAGCCCTTCTAAAATATCTTATCCTCTCTCCCCCTACCTAACTACCTGCTTTACCTACCACATTCGTCAATCTCTTGTATTTGCCGGACAAAGCAGACCGGATAAGACCGGAGACCGGGACCGGGTTATAGTACATACAATTTCTTGAGTTAATTCCCTTTTTAAATCTTCCAAATGAAGATATTCTTTACAAACATTAAAATGTGACATTTTTATAATTTTTTGTTTCAATTGAGTCTAAAATACATCGAAATGGCATCTAGCTTTGCAGAAACAACGTCTGGTAATTAATTAATAAATTCATTGTATCCTTACTAAATGTCAACTTTGTCTTTATGCAATAGCTACACATTTGAAGTAAATTTCAACTTTCACTTTTGTTTTGAACAAACCTGTATCCAGTATTGTCATCTGTAGTTCATGTTTGTTACAAACTAAGCATGAAACGATACATCTTTTTGAATATTCAATATGCTTCAAGATACACAGTGACGAATGCTAACTTACTATTTTATACTACAACAAGATGTTTTTATATAATTCAGAATCAGACAGTGATGAGGACCCCATCCAGCCCCCTGTCAAGAAGCTACGTACCAAGTATCATGATTCAGGTCAAAACAATATTTTATAACTTCAAAATAAACAACCACATATTTGAGATAACTTTTGCCTTCTGATTATTGAACATTTCTTTTAATATGAAATTAGGTGCTACCTACAGTGTATGGCGCGGGAAAAGCTCTTATGATTTATGATTCAAGCATAACATGTTAAGTGTTCATGTCCACTGTTTTTTCTTGCACTTCGTGAATAAGTGCATGAAGTATTTTGTACTGTAAACAGAAACAAATAAATTGGTGATTGAGTGCTTCAATTTCCAAAAATCTCGAACACCTCACAGTGATTTGATTGGCTACGCTCTGTGTATGGAAGAAAAGGGGGACCACTGTGCATGCATCTTCGTTAAGAAAATCCCGTCCGCCATTTTTTGTTAATCTTTAATCACAGTTGTTGTTTTAACGTTATTTTTTTAATGTGTTAATTTATCAAAAAGGATATGAAAAGTAACTTGTTATATTTATCCTTGTTACTATAGTTCTTTTCAATGAAATTATGTTTATTATCTGATTTTGTACATCATTCTTTTACCAGAAGTGTTATTTGGCAGGCATCTTCAAGCAAAAGTCTGAATAATGTAGACGCTCAAAAGCTCCCTGATATCTATATTTAGCTCAAAGGATTTCAAAATGGTGGCGCCCAGTTAACTAAGGATTTTTCTCCAACTCGTTAGATATATATTTTTTTATTGATTTTTATGTGATTTCAATTTATTTATTCACGTCATACATGTTATCTCAGAGCGCTTCAGTCTTCTCGGGGCTTTGGCCCCGCTCAGGCTTTCTGTGTAGTATATTTTACAATCTACAACAAGATGTTTTTTTTATTTAATTCAGAATCAGACAGTGATTCGGACCCGATCGAGTCCCCTGTCAAGAAGCAACGTACCACCTATAATCCTCATGCTGAGAAGATGATGGTAAAAATAAAAAACAGTTTTTATTGTCTTGAATGGTGGGGTAGTTATGGTTGGGTATTGTATGATATGTGCAGTGTTTCTGCTACTCTGTGTTTCTTGCGTTTTTGTTGCAATAATTTCACAAATGTTGCATTGAAATTTGCAGAGCGCGTTTTCTGTGATGCAGTCATAATCTACCTTAATTGGATGTCTTTTCTATTATTAGTGCTCTCCTGTTTAATTTGGCAATTATTCCCTTTATTTCTGGTAAATGCTATATGTATAAAATGCTTACCCATTCTGTGTAGTTAACGGCACATTTTCTGTCCGACTTTTAACTGTTCTACAATCAGTTACGGAATCCTGGATTTAGACATGTACGGTCTGGGTAAACAAGCGATTTGTGCATGCAGACGCTTTTTTCACAATGGTAAACACACCACAAAAGATAGGGACTTTAGCCAAAATATCAACGTTTCTGCTATAAACAGATGTCTGACACAGTCACAGGTTAAATGTTTTAATGCAAATAAGAAAAATAATTGGTTCTTCCTTTAAATAGAAGATTTTTCGTTTGCAACTGCAAAAAGAAGTTAACATGTGAAATCAAACAGTTCTGAGATTTACTTTTGTAGTTTTTACTTTTTTTAAATGTGGCCCTTCATAATTTCAAACGACCCCCATATTTTTATACAGAGGGTCACAAATGACCACCAAAAAATCTAGTCTGGCAGAAATGTGTGTAGGTACATTATTTGTGGTAACATACACATTTATGTGTATTTGGCATGTACAGTATTGATGAAGTCTTTTATGATTGTGTGTATGGTATGGGCTATTTAAAGACAAGATTTAGTGTGTATGTGCCTTTCAATGGTAATTTGATTAAAATCAGGTTTTGATTGCCCTTGCTTTTTATGCCCCCGCCATGTAATGGCCGGGGCATATAGTGTTACCCTGTTCCGTCATTCCGTCCTTCCATCCTTCTGTCATTCCGTCATCATCAGTTTCCGTTCATTATCTTAAGAACGGTTGCACACATTCAAGTCAAATTTGACATATGGATATGTCATGAGAAAATACAGGTCAAGTTCGAATTTGGTCATGGTTCGATGATTTTTGGCAGAGTTATGCCCCTTTTACTTTGAAAATAATATGAAATTTTCAGTTTCCGTTCATTATCTCCCCAACGGTACAACACATTCAACTCAAACTTGACATATGGATATGTCATGAGAAAATACAGGTCAAGTTCGAATTTGGTCATGGTTCGATGATTTTTGGCAGAGTTATGCCCCTTTTACTTTGAAAATAATATGAAATTTTCAGTTTCCGTTCATTATCTCCCCAAAGGTACAACACATTCAACTCAAACTTGACATATGGATGCGTCAAAGGAATGCGCAGGTCAAGTTCAAATTTGGTCATGGTTCGATGATTTTTGGCAGAGTTATGCCCCTTTTACTTTAAAAATAATATGAAATTTTCAGTTTCCGTTCATTATCTCCCCAAAGGTACAACACATTCAACTCAAACTTGACATATGGATGCGTCAAAGGAATGCACAGGTCAAGCTCAAATTTGGTCATGGTTCAATGATTTTTGGCAGAGTTATGCCCCTTTCACTTTGAAAATAATATGAAATTTACAGTTTCTGTTCATTATCTACCCAACAGTGTTACAGATATGTCAAAGGAATGGGCAGGTCAAGTTGGAATTTGGTCATGGTTTGATGATTTTTTGGCAGAGTTATGTCCCTTTCACTTTGAAAATAATATAGATACATCTTAGGAATAAGCAGTTTAAGTTTGAATTTGGTTGTGGTTCAATGATTTTAGACAAACTTATCTTTCCTGAATGTTGGAAAAATTTTGAACTTTCAGTTTCAGCACTCATACTTAAGCCATTATTTTGGCTACAAATATGCAATATGCTATTTAGACTGAATAATTTCAGTGCCTTGAACATTGTATGAAAATGGTTTGTGTTAATATTGAAAAGTTTTAAGGGCTTTGAACTTAAAATGAAAAAAATAATTAATGCACCATCTGAAATTTTGGCTGCATGCGGGGGCATCCGTGGCATGATGACACATTTCTAGTTGGAATATTGTAACAGCCTTTCTGGCATCAACTGTTACCATCATTCAGAAAACTATTTTCTGTTGTCAGCAGATAAAAGATCTTGTCAGATACTTGTGTACCTACCTATTCACTGTCTGGTCTAATAAATTAAAAACAACTCTTGTTAAATTTATTTTTATTTACATCTTTACAGGCCAAGATGAGCAACAAAGCAGGAACAGGTCTCGGAAAAAATGCACAAGGATTAAGTCATACATGCCATAATGTCCCAGACGACCGGGATTGTCAGGGAAATCAGCCGACCATCCCGGAGGTGTCCCAGAAAAGATTATTTCAGGGTAATAATAAAAATTTGGAACTTATATGCAGCAAGAACAATTCCAATATTATCCTTAGACATCTATTATCCTTAGACATTGATATAAAATAGGTTTTCCCAGACAGTTTAGTAATACACAAGAACTGTTGACACTAATCCACAGATTGATAAATATGTTTGACCTTTCTCTATCAATATAAAAGATTGTAACCCTGCTGCTTGCTGTGCAAACGTTCATTTAGAAGGGTGGTGTGTAATTAAATCTTTTCAACAAATTAGGTCATTAGTTGCGATTTTGTTTTATACATTTGTAAGTAAATAATTTTACAAATTCTTCAAATGTTTGCATACTTGCAATTATTTTGAAAGTGTCGCGATTTTGTGCATTATTTTAACACAATTACTTAGAAATGTTTTAATTGATTAGAAAATAGAAAGGTACTGTACATTTTATTTCTGTGATATAAAATGCGATTTGACCCTTTCCTTCGTGAGCATATTGTGAAAAATGGCCGTTTTCATTGAAAAGCCTCCTGTTACAAGCTCAAACTGCCATGAAACTATGAAAAATGCTTCAATACTAATCAAACCTTGGCACAAATGTTGACTGGACCATTACCTTTGTAACGACATGCTCAGTCTTAAATTTCCTGTTACCATGGCAACAAGGGGACTTCTCAAAATTGCCAAAAATCACTATTTTGCCTTGATTTTTTCCATCAAAATTGATTTCAAAGTGCTGCAACTTCTCAATGGATTGAGATAGATTCAAAGGCTTTTCAGCGTTGGTTACACATTACCTTACGATCGACCTGTGGTCATTTTTAGCCTCTCACAAGTCCAAAATTTTCTTGGCGATGAGGGGGACTACCTCCCCCCCTTCAAACCCTCCAAACAGAAGGAGCACATCCCCCTTCTGGCATACCCCTGATGTACCTTTTTGATAGGGGGCGGTGGCGAAAAAGTGATCACTTTTTTAGCAACATTTCCCAAATGAAAAACAGTGTTTGAGGCCTAAATAGGGTAATTTTTCATTGTTTGAGGCCTAAAAAATGGGGGGGGGGGGGTTAAGCCGTCAAAACAAGTTTATATGAAGTAAAGGGTTAACAAAAAATGGTGAAAAACCTTGGAATTACCCAAAATCTAGTTTTTCCATGTTGACATGTGGCCTTTCACCAAATTTTGGTGAAAAATTGTTGTTTTATAGCATTTTTAATTTTTTAAATTAAGTACCCTTTACTTCAAGCATAACATGTTAAGTGTTCATGTAAACCGTTCTTTCTTGCACTTCGTAAATAAGTCAACATAAGTATTTTGTACTGTAAACAGAAACAAATAAATTGGTGATTGAGTGCTTCAATTTCCGAAAATCTCGAACGCCTCACAGTGATTTGATTGGCTACGCTCTGTGTATGGAAGAAAAGGGGGACCACTGCGCATGCAGCTGCGTTTGAAAAAACCTGTCCGCCATTTTTTGTTAATGTCTAATCACAGTTGTTGTTTTAACGTTATTTTTTTAATGTGTTAATTTATCAAAAAGGATATGAAAAGTAACTTTTTATATTTATCCTTGTTACTATACACATGTATTTCTTTTCAATGAAATTATGTTTATTATCTGATTTTGTACATCATTCTTTTACCAGAAGTGTTATTTGGCAGGCATCTTCTAGCAAAAGTCTGAATAATGTAGATGCTTAAAAGCTCCCTGATATCTATATTTAGCTCAAAGGATTTCAAAATGGTGGTGCCTAGTTTACTTAGGATTTTTCTCTAACTCGTTAGATATATATTTTTTTATATGCCCGAAAGAATTTCGGGCATATTATGTTATACCCCCTGGCGTCCGTCCGTCTGTCAGTCCGTCCGTTAGCAATTTGGTTTCCAGAGCATAACTTAAGTTCCATTTGGCCCACAGTATTCAAACTTCATAGGATGATTGCCTATATTGGGTAGAAGACCCCTATTGATTTTGGGGTCACACGGTCAAAGGTCAAGGGCACTATTACCTTAAAACTGAAAAGGGTTTCCGGAGCATAATTTAAGTTCCATTTGGCCCACAGTATTCAAACTTCATAGGATGATTGTCCATATTGGGTAGAAGACCCCTATTGATTTTGGGATCACAAGGTCAAGGTCACTATTACCTTAAAACTGAAAATAGTTTCTGCTCAATAACTTAAGTATTAATCAACCTACAGCTGTAAAATTTTATAGGATGAACAGTCATGTCCAATACATGATCCCTATTGATTTAAGGGTCATAAGGTCCAAGGTCAGGGTCACAATGATCTTTACACTGAAAGTTGTGGTTTCTGGAGCATAACTACAACTTAATGCTGGTGCTTTGAAAACAGCAACTGTATATTTATGAAGGTTCTTCAGCTATAAAGGAGGATTGCTTTTTGAAGAAGGTAATACTGTATTTAATTCCCATGTCTTACAAATGTTTCATCCTTACTAACAAAAAAAAAACACTTTCGGGCATATAACGCTCGGCCTAGGGGTGCTCTTGCTATTGATTTTAATGTGATTTCAATTAATTTATTCACGTCATACATGTTATCTCAGAGCGCGTCAGTCCTCTCGGGGCTTTGGCCCTGCTCAGGCTTTCTGTGTTATATATTTTACAATCTACAACAAGATGTTTTTTTAATTTAATTCAGAATCAGACAGTGATTCGGACCCGATCGAGTCCCCTGTCAAGAAGCAACGTACCACCTATAATCCTCATGCTGAGAAGATGATGGTAAAAATAAAAAGCAGTTTTTATTGTCTTGAATGGTGGGGTAGTTATGGTTGGGTATTGTATGATATGTGCAGTGTTTTTGCTACTCTGTGTGTTTTTGTCGCAGTAATTTCACGAATGTTGCATTGAAATTTGCAGAGCGCGTTTTCTGTGATGCAGTCATAATCTACCTTAATTGGATGTCTTTTCATTTAATTGGAAGTTATTTCTTTTATTATTAGTGTTTCCCCGTTTAAATCGGCAATTATTCCCTTTATTTCCGGTAAATGCTATATGTATAAAATGCTTACCCATTCTGTGTCGTTATCGGCACATTTTCTGTACGACTTTTAACCGTTCCACAATCAGTTACGGAATCCTGGATTTAGACATGTACGGTCTGGGTAAACAAGCGATTTGTGCATGCAGACGCTTTTTTCACAATGGTAAACACACCACAAAAGCCAAAATATCAAAGTTTCTGCTATAAACAGATGTCTGACACGGTCACAGGTTAAATGTTTTAATGCAAATAAGAAAAATAATTGGTTCTTCCTTTAAATAGAAGATTTTTTGTTTGCAACTGCAAAAAGAAGTTAACATGTGAAATCAAACAGTTCAAGATTTACTTTTGTAGTTTTTAACCAGGTTTTCCGAAGGAAAAAACTGGTTATTAGATTGAGGTATGTCGGCGGGCGGGCGGGCGGATGGGCGGACGGGCGGGCGTAAACAATTTCTTCTGTGCGCAACTCCTCCTACATTTCTCAACGGATTTTGACCAAACTTTCACAGAAGCTTTGTCATCAAGTGCCCTGGCGCATATTGTCGGGGTTTTGCGATTAGATAATATTTGACCTAATTATGGCCCTTTGTTTTTTTTCCTTATATAAAATATATAGTGAACAATTTCTTCTGTGCGCAACTCCTCCTACATTTCTCAACGGAGTTTTGACCAAACTTTCTCAGAAGCTTTGTCATCAAGTGCCCTGACACATATTGCCAGGGTTTTGCAATTGGTATATATTTGACCTAATTATGGCCCTTTGTTTTTTTTCCTTATATAGAATATATAGTGAACAATTTCTTCTGTGCGCAACTCCTCCTACATTTCTCAACGGATTTTGACCAAACTTTCTTAGAAGCTTTGTTATCAAGTGCCTGGCACATATTGTTGGGGTTTTGTGATTGGATAATATTTGACTGAATTATGGCCCTTTGTATATTTTTCCCTTATACAGAATATATAGTGAACAATTTCTACAGTGCGCAACTTCTCCTACATTTCTCAATGGATTTTGACCAAACTTTCACAGAAGCTTTGTCATCAAGTGCCCTGGCGCTCACTAAATTCCCATGTTTCTTCCAAGACATCATTCAAGTATTTTTTTAAAATTGTGAACATACTTTTCTTGATATCGCACAAAACACCACACGCCAATATTGTTGACAAAAGAAAATGACAAGAGACGCAAAAATGCAAAAATTAAGCAAAAATAAAGTACTGTTTACCTTTCTAAAATATTTGGGAAAAAAAGGCGAATAGACAACATAAAATTTCTCAATCATTTTTGTTTGAGGAATATTAAAAAAGCCATAATTCCTCCTAAAAGTTCAATTAAAAACAAATGCCCCTTCATGACAAAGCTTCTGTGAAATATTTTGCTGAAAACCTGGTTGCATCGCATTGCGATGTTCCTTGTTACTTTTTAGCTCACCTGTCACAAAGTGACAGGGTGAGCTTTTGTGATCGCTTTTCGTCCGTCCGTCCGTCTGTCGTCCGTCCGTAAACTTTTACTTTAAATGACATCTCCTCATAAACCGCTTAGCCAATTTCATCCAAACTTCACAGGAATGTTCCTTTGGTGGTCACCTTTAAAAATTGTTCAAAGAATTTAATTCCATGCAGAACTCTGGTTGCCATGGCAACCGATAGAAAAAACTTAAAATATTTTCTTTTAAAAAACCCAAAGAGGTAGAGCTTAGATATTTGGCATAAAACATCTTCTAGTGAGTGTCTATCAAGTTTGTTCAAATAAAATCCCTAGGGTCAAAATTGGCCCCGCCCCGGGGGGTCATTGATTTTCCCTATATGCATATAGTAAAAACTTAAAAAATCTTCTTTTAAAGAACCCAAAGAGCTAGAGCTAAGATATTTAGCATGAAACATCTTCTAATGGGTGTCTACCAAGTTTGTTCAAATAAAAGCCCTGGGGTCAAAATTGGCCCCGCCCCAGGGGGTCATTGATTTTCCCTATATGCATATAGTAAAAACTTATAAAATCTTCTTTTAAAGAACCCAAAGAGCTAGAGCTAAGATATTTAGCATGAAACATGTTCTAATGAGTGTCTACCAAGTTTGTTCAAATAAAAGCCCTAGGGTCAAAATTGGCCCCGCCCCGGGGGTCATTGATTTTCCCTATATGCATATAGTAAAAACTTATAAAATCTTCTTTTAAAGAACCCAAAGAGCTAGAGCTAAGATATTTAGCATGAAACATCTTCTAATAGGTGTCTATCAAGTTTGTTCAAATAAAAGCCCTGGGGTCAAAATTGGCCCCGCCCCAGGGGGTCATTGATTTTCCCTATATGCATATAGTAAAAACTTATAAAATCTTCTTTTAAAGAACCCAAAGAGCTAGAGCTAAGATATTTAGCATGAACCATGTTCTAATGGGTGTCTACCAAATTTGTTCAAATAAGAGCCCTGGGGTCAAAATTTGCCCTGCCCCGGGGGTCATTGATTTTCCATATATGTGTAAAGCAAAAACTTTAAATTAAAAATTCTTTGAAAAAAAAACAAATAGCTAGAGTTTAGATACTAAGCATGAAACATCTTCTAGTGAGTGTCTTCAAAGTTTTTACAAATAAAAGCCCTTGGGTCAAAATTAGCCCTGCCCCGGGGGTCATTGATTTTATTTATGTGTATAGCAAAAACTTATAAAATCTTCTTTGAAAAAACCCAAATAGCTAGAGTTAAGATATTTAGCATGAAACATCTTCCAGTTAGTGTCTTCAAAGTTTGTTCAAATAAAGCCCTAGGGTCAAAATTGGCCCTGCCCCGGGGGACATTGATTTTCCTTATATGTGTATAGCAAAAACTTAAAAATCTTCTTTAAAAAAAAACAGAATAGCTAGAGTTTAGATATCAAGCATGAAACATCTTCTAGTGAGTGTCTCCAAAGTTTGTTCAAATAAAAGCCCTGGGGTCAAAACTGGCCCCGCCCTAGGGGTGTCATTGCTTTTAACTATATGTGTATAGTTAAAACTTAAAAAATCTTTTTTTTAAAAACTCAACAAGCTAGTCCTTAGATGTTTAGCGTGAAATATCTTCTAATGGGTGTCTACCAAGTTTGTTCAAATAAAAGCCCTGGGGTTTAAACTGGCCCCACCCTGGGGGCCTATATACAGGTGAGCGACTTCAGGGCCATCATGGCCCTCTTGTTTAGCTCACCTGTCACTTTGTGACAGGGTGAGCTTTTGTGATCACTTTTCGTCCGGCGTCCGTCCGTCCGTCGTCCGTAAACTTTTACTTTAAATGACATCTCCTCATAAACCACTGAGCCAATTTCATCCAAACTTCACAGGAATGTTCCTTTGGTGGTCACCTTTGAAAATTGGTCAAAGAATTTAATTCAATGGAGAACTCTGGTTGCCATGGCAACCAAAAGAAAAAACTTTAAATATCTTCTTCTAAAAAACCCAAAGAGCTAGAGCTAAGATATTTGGCATGAAACATCTTCTAGTGAGTGTCTACCAAGTTTGTTCAAATAAAAGCCCTGGGGTCAAAATTGGCCCCGCTCCAGGGGGTCATTGATTTTCCCTATATGTATTTAGTAAAAACTTAAAAAATCTTCTTTTAAAGAACCCAAAGAGCAAGAGCTAAGATATTTAGCATGAAACATCTTCTAATGGGTGTCTACCAAGTTTGTTCAAATAAAAGCCCTGGGGTCAAAATTGGCCCCGCCCTAGGGGTCACTGTTTTTTCCTACATGCATATAGTAAAAACTTAAAAATCTTCTTTTAAAGAACCCAAAGAGCTAGAGCTAAGATATTTAGCATGAAACATGTTCTAATAGATGTTTACCAAGTTTGTACAAATAAGAGCCCTGGGGCCAAAATTTGGCCCCGCCCCAGGGGGTCATTGATTTTCGCTATATGAATATAGTAAAAACTTAAAAAATCTTCTTTTAAAGAACCCAAAGAACTAGAGCTAAGATATTTAGCATGAAACATGTTCTTATGTATGTCTACCAAGTTTGTTCAAATAAGAGCCCTGGGGTCAAAATTGGCCCCGTCCCGGGGGACATTGATTTTCGCTATATGAATATAGTAAAAACTTACAAAATCTTCTTTTAAAGAACCCAAAGAACTAGAGCTAAGATATTTAGCATGAAACATGTTCTTATGTATGTCTACCAAGTTTGTTCAAATAAGAGCCCTGGGGTCAAAATTGGCCCCGCCCCGGGGGACATTGATTTTCCTTATATGTGTATAGCAAAAACTTAAAAATCTTCTTCGAAAAAACCCGAATAGCTAGAGTTTAGATTTTAAGCATGAAACATCTTCTAGTAAGTGTCTACAAAGATTGTTCAAATAAAAGCCCTTGGGTCAAAACTGGCCCTGCCCCAGGGGTGTCATTGTTTTTAAATATATGTGCAAAGAAAAAACTTAAAAAATTTTCTTTTAAAAAACCCAACAAGCTAGACCTTAGATGTTTAGCATGAAACATCTTCTAATGGGTGTCTACCAAGTTTGTTCAAACAAAATCCCTGGGGTTAAAACTGGCCCCGCTCCGGGGGGCCTATATACAGGTGAGCGACTTCAGGGCCATCATGGCCCTCTTGTTTTAATTTGGCCCTTCATAATTTCAAATGACCCCCATATTTTTATACAAAGGGTCACAAATGACCACCAAAAAATCTAGTCTGGCAGAAATGTGTGTAGGTATTTGTGGTAACATATACATTTATGTGTATTTGGCATGTACAGTATTGATGAAGTCTTTTATGATTGTGTGTATGGTATGGGCTATTTAAAGACAAGATTTAGTGTGTATGTGCCTTTCAATGGTAATTTGATTAAAATCAGATTTTGATTGCCCTTGCTTTTTGGAATATTGTAACAGCCTTTCTGGCATCAACTGTTACCATCATTCAGAAAACTTTTTTCTGTTGTCAGCAGATTAAAGATCTTGTCAGATACTTGTGTACCTACCTATTCACTGTCTGGTCTAATAAATTAAAAACAACTCTTGTTAAATTTATTTTTATTTACATCTTTACAGGCCAAGATGAGCAACAAAGCAGGAACAGGTGAGATGTCCCGGAAAAGATTTTTTGAGGGTAATAATAACATTTGGAACTTATGTGCAGCAAGAACAATTCCAATATTATCTTTAGACATTGATATGAAATAGGTTTTCCCAGACAGTTTAGTAATACACAAGAACTGTTGACACTAATCCACAGATTGATAAATATGTTTGACCTTTCTCTATCAATATAAAAGATTGTAACCCTGCTGCTTGCTGTGCAAACGTTCATTTAGAAGGGTGGTGTGAAATTCTTCAAATGTTTGCATGCTTGCAATTATTTTGAAAGTGTCGCGATTTTGTGCATTATTTTAACACAATTACTTAGAAATGTTTTAATTGATTAGAAAATAGAAAGGTACTGTACATTTTATTTCTGTGATATAAAATGCGATTTGACCCTTTCCTTCATGAGCATTTTGTGAAAAATGGCCGTTTTCATTGAAAAATCACCTTTTACAAGCTCAAACTGCCATGAAACTATGAAAAATGTGTCAGTACTTATCAAAATTTGGCACAAATGTTGACTGGACCATTACCTTTGTAACAACATGCTCAGTCAAAAATCACTATTTTGCGTTGATTTTTTCCATCAAAATTGATTTCAAAGTGCTGCAACTTCTCAATGGATTGAGATAGAGTCAAAGGCTTTTCAGCGTTGGTTACACATTACCTTACGATCGACCTGGGGTCATTTTTAGCCTCTCACAAGTCCAAAATTTTCTTGGCGATGAGGGGGACTGCCGCCCCCCTTCAAACCCCCCAAACAGAAGGGGGCACATCCCCCTTCTGGCAACCCCCTGATGTACCTTTTTGATAGGGGCGGCGCCGAAAAAGTGATCACTTTTTTTAGCAACATTTCCCAAACGAAAAACAGTGTTTGGGGCCTAAATAGGGTAATTTTTCACTGTTTGAGGCCTCAAAAAGGGGGGGGGTCGAAAAGCCGTCAAAACACGTCTATATGAAGTAAAGGGTTAACAGTGAATGTCCCCCACCATGAAGCTTCCACAGTGATGTTTCTTCCTTCCAAAACTTTATAAGCGGCTTTTTTAAAACATATTTACTTTTGTCAGCTGCAGCATTGTCAAAGTACAAATACAGGTATGCTGAAAACCTTACACTACCACAGTGACAAAGCATAGCACATGCTTTATTGTATCATAATAATTGCAAGTTGTTAACATTGGTTTACTAGATTAAATACTGCTATGTTGATTTAAGAAACATTTTTTAGTGTCCCAGAAAAATCAGTCTGGAAATTATGGCATGTATGATTAAGTATAAAACTAGTAGATTTGTTTAAAACTTCATGAATATTTAATGCTTTACATGTAAGTGGAAGACCTTATATATATATGTATCATGAATCCATGATTCAGGTCAAAACAATATTTTATAACTTCAAAAGTAAACACCCATATACTTGAGGTAACTTTCACCTTTTGTTTTTAATATATTTTACAAACTACAACACAAAGTTTTTTATTTAATTCAGAATCGGACAATGATGGGGAACCGATCGAGCCCCCTGTCAAGAAGCCACATACCACCTATGATGCTGTCAAGAAGCCACATACCCAATATAATGCTTTTGCTGAGAAGATGATGGTAAAAATAAAAAGTTGTTATTATTGTCTTGAATGGTGGGGTGGCTATGGTTGGGTATTGTATGATATCAAATTTTTATACTATAGTGAATGCCATTCAATAAATGGCAACATGTCTGGTATAAAATCAAAATTTCTTTACAATTATTTTTGAAAAATATCATGTATTATATACTTACTGTATTTGCTTTTGGGTGTATGATAACTGACTTTGTGGCATCAACTGTTGCATTATTCATAATATGATTTCATGTTGACTTGTCAGCAGATAAAAGATCTTGTCAGATACTTGTGTACCTACCTGTTCACTGTCTGGTCTAACAATTTATAAACAAATCTTGTTAAATTTATTTTTATTTACATCTTTACAGGCCAAGATGGGCTATAAAGAAGGAAAAGGTCTTGGAAAAAATGCACAAGGTCGTGTAAACATTGTTGAAGCATCTATGCAAAGGGGGAGGAGAGGTCTTGGCTTAACACTGAAGGGGCTAGAGCCATCAATGGAAGCTGACTGGAATGAAGAGGACGATCAGGTGTGAAAGATTATTTTTGCATAAAATGAATGTATTAAATGGTTAAAAGATTGTTGATCTCAAAGTATTTTCTAAGTTACAGATAATAATAGATAACTGGAAAGTTAAATAAGGACGGTGAAAGTGTCTTGATTACTGACGTTGTACATTATTGTACTGGTCAGAGCAATCATGGTCAATTATCATTCCATCAGTTATTGTATTTTCATATTATAATTGTTCTTCCCAATATTTTCTTTGGAAATGCTTTGATTATTTATTGTTTTTGAAAACTCATTTTTTTAACAGACTTATATTGACATTAATGTCTATACAATCACAGGAAATATTGAATAGAAATATGTAACAATTTGTTATAAATAAAGGTTATCATAGACGAGGTGGTAGAGTGGTTACCATGTTGTGAGGAAGCAGTTCCATCTATAGAGGTTCTGAGAAACTGGAAAACAATAGGACCAGTAAGTGATGGAGACTGTCTTTTTGTGTAAAGTTAAACTGTTGGAGGGTTTGTATAATTTGCGTCCAGTAGTTATTGGTTTTTATATCAAATTGGTTTTGTTAACTGATCATCTTGATGTATTATAGAAAGCTACTCTCTCTGCCCCCATCAACATCTTGGTTGATCTGATTGTAATCAAACTTGATATGCATTTATATATATGAAAAAGAAAATATCAGACTCAACATATGTCATCAAAATGGATTTTTTTATTATAACCCTTAGTTACTAAAAATGGCATTTTTACGGAAAAGACATCTGAAGCCATATTTTACAACGGGATGGTAAGATTATGATGCTCATTCAAAATTCAATTGCTCATTGTTGAATTATGGCCATTTGTTTAAGTAGCAGCTATATCAATACTAAAAACAAAACATATTTTAACAGATATTGCATTAATGAAAATTCAGTAAGAAAATTATTCCCATTTGTGTTTGAGAGTGAGTTATGACCCTTTGTAACTTATAATGTACCTTATAAACAAAAAACTACAAAACAACATGTAGTGTCACAGGGTGAGAAAAATGTGCACCCTAACTGGGACTCGAACGTGGGACCCTCACAACACTGTTCTTTGGCTCTACCGACTGAGCTATCTGGCCGCTTACACATCTTCTCCCCTCAATAGTGAACAGTTCTAAACGATGACATACTCCCCTGCTGTATTGAAATTAGTTCTCAAATTTCACAGAGTTACAGAGCAATTTAAATTAAACTGTGAACTATATTCAGTCATTGTCCTTTGTTGGGCGCCAAATGTCATAGGGTGAGAAAAATATGCAGCCTTACCCATACTCAAACATGAGACCTTTGGTCCGCGGCTCTGCGGACTAAGCTATCAGACCACTTATATATCTTTTTCCCTTCAATAGTGAACAGTTCTGGACACTTGAATAAACCTTGTTTATGTACATTGACAGGAGAAAGTTTAATTGTATGAATTTTGCATGAATTACAGAAAAAGTTGACATTAGACAATGAGACACAGTTCTGTACAGAAAATACTCTCGAAGAAGTTCTCAGTAGTAAGGTATATACTTTTGATCTATTAGTATAGTAGATAATTGTCAATAATTTGTTACCTCGTGTTATGACTGGGATCGTAATTTAAAGAAAAGCATTTGCAATAAGCTTGTATCCACACGTAATATACAAGTTGATAATTGATTTATATTGCCAACTGATGCAGATGAAAAAAAAAGTGCTATCATTTTCTGAACACCTGCGGTGCTACATAGAGTCTTTTATATCCCAAGTAAAGAGCAGGGTAATTTTTAGATCTAATTTTATACTTTAAAGTGTGTATTTAAATCTCAAAATTTCTTCTTTCGTTAAAATCAAGATGAGTCTCTAAGTAAAGCATATTAAAAACCTGCAACAAGGACACATGGTCACAATCTGTTATGTATGTTATTATCTATTAATGTATGTTTTTGAAATGTTTTGATTTTGATTTTTCAGAGTATATTTGACAGACTGGAACCTGAAGAGATGAGGAAAGCTAGAACCAGGTCTAATCCATATGAAACTATCAGAGGGGCTTTCTTTCTTAACAGGTGATATTTACGAGCTTTATTCAATTTACAAGAAAATACAGAAGTAAAATCTTGAGATTGAAGGACAGTTTAGTATCAAAACTTGAAAATTTTATTTCCAGAACAGTTAAATTTTTTTTTCCTAAGACATGAAATAATATTTTTAGTAGATAGAAATCTATTTCTAACACATCAATTGAGCGATGTGTTTGTTCATACTGAGAGATTTGTGTTGCTTATATTGGAGGTTTGTTTCTAATGCATTATGTAATGATTATAGAGCAAAGCCACTAGTATAGAGTAAGGGCTCCAGTATAGAGTGTTGCATATTTAGAGGTTAATACTTGGTTGCTGCTCGCCATTATGCGATAATGGCCCGAAGATGTGCATAATGGCCTGAGTTCGAAATACGGCGTTTAGATATCGCCGCTAATCTTGGTTGTCACCTTTTCTAAGACACGAACAGTTGTCAATGTAAACAAATGTCTATCATACTGTACAGTTTGACACTCCGATTAACTTAGAAAACAAGACAACACAAAATAAATATAAGAAAATGTTGTTATATTGTTATTTCTATCAATAATACAGAACCCTACTCTTCACATTTTTTGTGAGAATTACATTTAGATCTAGTGCTAGTTTTTTTATGAAGTTCTGTGCCTTCAAAAACGGTTTCTGAGACTGTCTAGGCTCCGACCTTTTAGTACAGTCAATCTAAAATCATATTTGGAATTTCTGAGGTCTATTTTCTTGAGTTTATAAATCTTCAATGATAAGCTTGCTGATTGTGATTAATTATGTCATTTAAACTTTAAAAAAAAATTGTGTACAAGTGACTACAGTTCATTCAACGTCAACAGTCATCTGAAAGTCACTGAGAGTTGATGACGTCATTCTGCATGGGCGCTCATTCACTCGCCCATTATGGAAAAATAATGCCGAGAGCAAGGCGGCCAAAATTGCATAATGACCTAGATCTTGCCATAATGGCCCTGAAATACCCTAGATTTTGTTACTATATATAGTAACATAGGTATTAATTTACCATTATAGAGCAAGGCCTATGTCTACAGTAAAGAGTAAAGCGTGAACCACCAGAAAAAAGATAGGCCAGCCTATATTGCTAAGTATGCCAGCCAGATAATTGTATAGGCAGCTGTACTTGTAATATTTTTGCAATGACCATTTAAAAAGTACAGTCCTACATTCAACACAAGACAATAAGTGTAGAGGTTGAAATATATTGATATAAATTGACACTTTGTTAATTCTTTAGGGCAGCTATGAAGATGGCAAACATGGATGCTGTTCTAGACTTTATGTTTACAAATCCAAAATACCCGAATGGGGTAAGTTAATAGTCATTAACAGATATGATTGATATATCAGGTGACCCAGAATATTGTGAAGTTATTATTATTATATTATATATACATTGTTTAGTACAATACTGAATTCTATTGGTGGACTACACAGCTGTTAAACCTATATTGGATGAGGTGCTAGCCAAGTGTGATATAGCTGAAATAGGTTATGCAGGTATAAACAAGTCCAATATAATCAGAATTGCTCTAAACAATGAAAAATGATGTCTTTTAATTCACACCACAATGTTTTGACAGAACTTTGTTACTTGAAGTACAATAATGATTTGATATGGATTTTTGGACTCTGGAAATGAAAGTGGGACCAGAAAGAGTGTGATATGCATTTAATATAGATTTTTGGACTATGAAAATGAAATGAGGCTCTATGGGTACAATATGCATTTGATATAGATTTGTTGGATGCTGAAAATGAAAACTAAATAGATAAAAGGATCCAATAATGATTTCTATCAAAACATCACCTGGTACAAATGCTGAAAGTTCTTTGGTTATATTTCATAAGGTGTGAAATAATTCTCTTAACCAATTTTTGATAAAATTGTTAAAGCACACAACCATACTCAGTACTGAACATTTTTTGTCAGCATTTTCTGGATATTCAATTTTTTCAGTATAAAGTTGGTTTTAAGAAGAAAGTTTATAGAGATAAGAATCTAGATATAATGTTCTCAGACAAGAATCTGAAATCAGATGTACATAAACCCTTAAACTGCTGAATTTCATAAATGTACTTGTCCAGCTTTCATTTTTGGCATATACATGTTTATGGATATATTTGCTTTAGTACTCTTGGAAAAACTTTTTATAAGGTTGTGAAAAAATGTGAATTTAGATGTTGATTCATGATTCAGTTGAAACTAGCTTAGTTAATACAACACTGTTTTGACAAAATGTAAAATTTTTACATTTAAGAATTGTACAAAATGTAAAATGCTTTGTTACATTTACAGATGTTTACATTTAAGAGTTTTACAAAATGTATAATATTTCATTATGATTGTAGAGGCCAATGGTTGGACCCAATGATCTTCTATATTTTGCTGATATCTGTGCTGGTCCTGGGGGGTTTAGTGAGTATGTACTATGGAGAACCAATGCAGAGGCTAAAGGATTTGGTATGACCTTGAAAGGATCTTGTGATTTCAAACTTGAGGACTTTTTTGCTGGCCCACCTGAGATGTTTGAACCTCATTATGGTAATTTTTAAATTTTCCCAGATTTTTGGTAATGCAACTGAATATGAGGTTTTAACACAAAACTTTAACCTCGACCATTACATGGAAATAGTACAGCCTCTAAATTTCTCAGTAGGATACACATAGATGAACTTCATTACAATTAAGCTATTAGAGGTTTTGGGGTCAAAAGTTGAGATCACCAGGGTCAAGGCATACCGATGTTAATTAAAAAAATAACAGTTGAACAGTTGTTTCCTGTGCCTTTAAAGGCATTCAGATATTTTCTGATACAGATATTTGGTATAGACTCTCTGCAAGGCAGACCTCTACATGTATGCTGAGTAAAATTTGAGCAGGAATTGCTATACATCAGAGGGCAACTATATAAGTTTTAAAGATTTAGTTACCACTTGTGGCTTAGGGGTTGCCTTTAAGGGTTGAGACATCAGAATTGCAGCCACAGTTTATCCCTGCATGTTCGTATTAAAGAGGTGAGGAAATGGGTCCGAATTACTAGAGTCTATGCATCTTTTGGCTCCAGCAGATGTGGTGGTTTTGACCCCTGGTGTTGCTTTAAGTTTGTAACACCCAAGGTTAGTCAAACACATCTTTCGTATTTTGGCACCTTACATGTATTATCTAAATTGTGTTGGTCTGTAAATCAAACAAAACAAAATATTTTGTTTGTGATAACAAGGGTGTTTTTGTTGATGTTAACTTGTTAAGGTAGACCATGGGTAATGGGCACCATAAGGAATGGTAAAATTGACAACATAGGACAGTTATATGTCTTCAAGGTCACCTGTATGCAAAATTTAAATAAAATTTACCGTGTGGTTTATGAGTTATGGATATATTTCTGAACTAAGACTTTGCCATTAGAAGGGCTTATTTTCAGAAATGAGAAAACTCTAATTAATCTGTGATATCATCATTATGAAATATGTTTTTCTATTGCTCATTGTTGAGAAACAAATAATAACATTCAGGTAACAAATTATACAAGCAAAATGTTTGTTTCTAACAAAATGTTCTTAATATGTATAAAAATGTTCCCCTACCCCACCCACTTTAAACACCAATTTTACCATTTCCCTATCTAAAATGCCTTATTCAAAATATCCCTAAAATTTACCATAATGAGGTGCTGTTTTCAAAGTTTGCCAAAATTTTCTTAAATGTATATTAGTTGATCATGCGAAATATAAAATACTTTTACCGTGTAGTTTTTATTTTATTAAACTTTGAAAATATCTGGTATCATATTTGCTATAAATTTTGGCATTATTTAGCAAATAAATACCTACAATAATTATATAATTTAAATCAAACCCTTTTTTTCTTCCATAAGGGATCAGAGAGATACATAAATAATGTTAAAAAGAAAAAAAGAAAGAAAAAAAAGTTGCCCCTTCTGGGGTTTGAACCCACGCCCCTCAATTTCAATGTAGTTGGCAAGTGATTCTAGCCTATTTGAATACTCTTCAAAGTGGAGGTAATGCATTACCCATGGTCTACCTTAATTTGAGTTTGTTGTATTATGTTGATGTGGTAAAGATGATTTGATTGTTGCTTTAATGTTCTAGTACTCTAAACTTAAGGTAATAATGTTTTATATGTGTTTAGTATATATGTATGTACAATTATAGGTGTGGGAGGTATCGAGGGAGATGGTGATATATTCCGTCCTGAAAATCAACAAGCATTTATACAGTTTGTAAAAGATAATACAGACAATCAAGGTGTACATGTGGTCATGGCAGATGGAGTATGTTCATACAATTTATATATTTCTTTATATATTTGAAAATAAAAAACACCTTATATATCAGCTTTACATATGTAAGCATCTAGTTAATTCTCAAATGTCTATTAGCATATTGATATCTCGCATTAAAGTAAAATTGTCTATATGTATAGTAAAGTAATGAGTTTGTGAAATTGTGAAAATTTCAGGTAAGATAGGGATAGTGTGCAAATAAAGATTACCCTGCTGGGAAACATCAGGGGGTTTGAAATATTGGAAAAGAAAAATAAATTGTCAGACAAAGTAAAGAAAAACAAACATGTGAAAGGAAGTGCAGTTGGCAGTCTTTTTCTTTTGTTGTGATAAATGGAAATCATTTATTATTCAGAAAGAAATATTTTAGTAGTAATGTCCCTTTTTAACACACCTGTCACAAAGTGACAGGGCGCGCTCTTGTGATCACAATACATCCAGAATCTGTCCGTCTGTCTGTTGTCTGTCCGTAAACTTTTAATCTAAACCACATCTCCTCATAAACCATTAAGCCAATTTCAGCAAACTTCACAGGAATGTTCCTTTGGCAGTCTCCTTTGAAAATTTTCAAAGAATTATTTCCATGCAGAACTCAATTTGCCATGGCAACCAAAAGAAAAAACTTTAAAAAATTTTCTTTCACAAAACCCAAAGAGCTAGAGCTTAGATATTAAGCATGGAACATCCTCTACTGAGTGTCTACCAAGTTTGTTCAAATGAAACCTTGGGTCAAAACTGGCCGTGCCCCAGGGGTCATTGATTTTCCTTATATTTATATAGTAAAAACTTAAAAACCTTCATTTACAAAACCCAAAGAGGAAGAGCTTAGATATTTAGCATGAAACATCTTTTATTGGGTGTCTACCAAATTTGTTAAAATAAAAGCCCTAGGGTCAAAATTGGCCCAGCCCCAAGGGGTCATTGATTTTCTATATATATAAACACATCTTTTGGAACTTTTGTTATCCCCCGCCGATGGAATAGGGAGGGGGATATATTTTGGCGTTGTCCGTCCGTCCATTCATCCGAATTTCGTTTCCGGACTAGTTCTCTGCAACTACTGGCTGGAATTCAATGAAACTTTATGGGAATCATCAATATCAAGAGGAAATGAGCATAGCGTCGGCTTGTTCCGGTCAGACCCTTAAACTCAGAGTTATGGCCCTTGATTAGTTATGTAGTATGCATATAGAGTAAAAATCGTTTCCGCACTACTTCTCTGCATCTGCTGGCTAGAATTCAACGAAACTTTATGGGAACCTTCAATACCAAGAGTAGATGGCATATCATCGGCTTGTTCCGGTCAGACACTTTAACTCACAGTTATGGCCCTTGATTAGTTATGTAGTATGCATATGGAGCAAAAATCGTTACCGCGCTACTTCTCTGCAACTACTGGCTGGATTTCAATGAAACTTTATAGGAACCTTCAATACCAAGAGGAGATGCGCATATCGTCGTCTTGTTCCCGTCAGACACTTTAACTCAGAGTTATGGCCCTTGATTAGTTATGCAGTATGCATATAGAGTAAAAATCGTTTCCGCGCTACTTGTCTGCAACTACTGGCTGGAATTCAAAGAAACTTTATGGGAATCTTCAATACCAAGAGGAGATGTGCATATCGTTGCCTTGTTCCGGTCTACCCTTTAACTCAGAGTTATGGCCCTTGATTAGTTATGCAGTATGCATATAAAGAAAAAATCCTTTCCGCACTACTTCTCTGCAACTACTGGCTGGAATTCAACAAAACTTTATGGGAACCTTCAATACCAAGAGGAGATGCGCATAGCGTCGCCTTGTTCCGGTCAGACACTTTAACTCAGAGTTTTGGCCCTTGATTAGTTATGCAGTATGCATATAGAGCAAAAATAGTTACCATGCTACTTCTCTGCAACTACTGGCTGGAATTCAATGAAACTTTATAGGAACCTTCAATACCAAGAGAAGATGCGCATATCATTGCCTTGTTGGGGTCAGACACTTTAACTCAGAGTTATGGCCCTTGATTAGTTATGCAGTATGCATATAGAAAAATATTCGTTTCCTTGCTACTTCTCAGCAACTACTAGCTGGAATTCAATGAAACTTTATTGGAACCTTCAATACCAAGAGGAGATGCGCATATTGTCACCTTGTTCAGGTCAGACATTTTAACTTAGAATTATGACCCTTGATAACTTAGGCAGTATACAACCAGAGCAATAATCGTTTCCGTGCTACTTCTCTGTAACTACTGGCTGGAATTCAATGAAACTTAATGGGATACTTAGAGGAGATGTGCATATAGTCGCCTTGTTCCGGTCAGATACTTATAACTCAGATTTATGGCCCTTGATTAGTTATGCAGTATGCATACATCTTATTGGCATTTCCAGATATTACTATTTAACACAAAGTTATGGCTCTGTTATTGCCCTAAATATTTATCAAGTTCAAAGAATATTACTGTTTATGCCATGATTAATATATAAATAAAGCCTTATGTCTTCAGTTGTTATGTTAATAATAACCAGTACTCGGCGGGGGATATAAATTCAACGAATTTGCTTGTTTTCCCTAAGCAATAGCAACCAGTAATGTTTTTACACTTGCACTATTTCTGTTACAGATATGAACTTTGTGATATCATCAGATTTTATATATGATTTTGTTGATAGTTTACAATGCTTGGAATATTAATAAAAAAAATGTTATTATCAGACAAGTGTTCACAAGCATGCAGTGCTCTTTTTTTGTCTTCTTAATTTGTATTACATATCTAAAGCACTTTTCACAAAAAACAACTTGCTTGTTAGTAATATTAGAATATTTTAAGCCCTTGTACAGTGGATGCATTTTATAGACGACATTATTGAGATTATTAGGAAAAGATCTCTGAGCTTTAAGATTTTGCTTGCTTTTTCTCATACCTCACATTTTAATAAAAAAAAAATTATGAATATTTGAATTAACTTTGTGTGGCATTGTTAGTTCATCATAACCCAAAGCTGTATATGAGTTATTTAAATTTCAGGGATTTTCTGTTGAAGGTCAGGAAAATATTCAGGAAATTCTCTCAAAACAGTTATATTTATGTCAGTTCCTAGTTGCAGTGTCTATACTTAGAACAGGTAATTATTGTCTGTACACTTGAAATTGTCACTCTTCCTGTGTAAATACCTGGTAGCAATCATAACGATCTTTTTCTTATTATACACATGCAGTTGTTATTATTCATTTGAGATTATTTTGAAGAAACATCCATGTTAAGATCTAGGTCTTAGGTTACAAAGTAAATTGTGAATGTTAAACTCAGATCCCAGGTATCAGATTGGCCAAAAGACCTGCACATAATATACACTGACCAATGAAAATCCTTAGATGTGAGACAGAGCTCAGAAAAATGTTTAATAATCTCAGGGCTAGTTTTGGGGTAGTTTCTTGTACACTTTTTTACAGTTATTATGCATGTGCCAGTTTAGTGTAATAGTGTCTGTTCATAGACCAGATAACCTTTTATGGTACACGTGCAGTTGTTGTTATACTTTTGTTAACTCTTTGTAGACAAGATTTTGTTCAAAAAGTTGTATTTTCTGATAAACTTATAAGCTTCTTGCCTGTAGATTAATGAAAGGAATAATAAAATGTGAAAATGAATTTGTTTTCAGGTGGCCATTTTGTATGTAAATTGTTTGACCTGTTCACACCATTCAGTGTTGGTCTTGTATATCTCATGTACAGAATATTTGAAGGTGTTTCTATATTTAAACCTGTGACAAGTCGACCAGCCAACTCAGAAAGGTAAGTTTTATAACACATATTTAATATTATTATCAAATAAGAGATAGTATGTTTGTTTTTTAGCTGAAGACCTTTGTATTGTCACAAGGCTTTGCTTCTAAAACAATTAAAATACTCAATTTTCATATAAGAGCCATTTTATTTTAGTATTGGCCCTGTACCTGTCATATTTTCCCTGACTGTCTCATTTTGGCCTAGACACTGTTCTTGTGTTGGCCTTAACTGTTTTATAATGACCTTCACTCTTATATAGGCCATTACTGTCTAATAATGTCACATATTGTCTCATATTGACCCTGTCTTATAATAGGCTCTGAGCTGGCTTATTATTGCCCTGTCTCATCCTTGCTGAGACTGTCTTATTTTGACAATGAATGTCTTATACAGGCCCTGACAGACTCTGACTGTCAAATATAGGCACTGACTGTTTTATATTGGCCCTGTGTTAAACTATATTGTCTTCAGAATTCTATTACAGGCAGGACAGAAAAACTTTTTCAATATGTGGGTACAAAAATGGTTTCATACTTCACATGTACTTATTATTACCAATACCAAGTCTATAATCCTGACAAGTTTCATAACTGTGTCATCAGTTTATCTCCAGTAATCTAATCTCTGCATTTTGGTGTACAAATATGCATGTAATAGTACACAATGTTCAGCTTTCTTTACTCCCTGTCTATTAACCCTGAACCTGCTGGAACTAAAAGTGATTAGCTTAGAGCCAGGACAGCCTACATGTGTGCACTCCGAACAGGTTCTATTCTGATGGTTAACCGACTTCAAATTTTCATCTTTCCCCAAAATTAAAAATGTGCAGTTTCACTGGGACTCGAACCTGGACTCTCAGAATACTGTTCCATGAACAGTTCTGAACTGTGACATAGACAAAGCCTTGAACATATTTTTTTACGTAAAAATAATAATAATACAAGAATAAAGAGTAAAAAATGGATCATGAATTGCTTTTTTATCATCCATACTACTTAAAATTTCTGGAAGAATATATATATTTATCAGGTTTTATTTTCATAACAGATATATTATATGTAAGAGTTTACGTAAGGACTGTGAACCGGTCAGACAGTACTTTCATGAAATAAACTTGAACCTGTCGGAACTACTGCGACCTACATCAGACGAGGATCTTACTGATATAGTGCCAATGTCATACCTACAAAACAATGAAGCATTCTATGAGTATATATGTGTGTCTAATGATAGGTTAGTTTAAATTAGAATATTCAATCAAGTTGTACTATTGGCAAAATACTACTGTAGTTCGAATCTTGCCCCACACCTGTAAGAATTTCAGCCTAGATAAATCTATTTCATGTGATTATTCTAACTAACTTTAAAACAGAATAATAAAGTTCTACAAAGGTGCTTCTACATTTTTCTTTCACTCATGCCTTATAGAAAGTAAGTTGTTATACCAAAGACCTTGTTTATGTTTGATAAAATTGGATAGTTGTTCTACCAAGGTACTTGTTATGCTTTATAAAGGTCAGTTTTGTTCTACTAGTCTGATTGTTTATGCATGACAAAAGGTCAATTGTTCTACTTTTTCATGAAAGATCACTAGTTCTAGCAAATGCTTATTTTTGTATACAAAATGATATATATTAATAATTGTCATTGAAAAAATACCTTTTTATTTGTAATTTCAGTCTTGGAAAGCTTCAGATATTGAATCTGCAAAAAATTCGAGTTTTTACACAAAATACGTGAGTACTAAACAATGTTGAGACATTTTATGAACGTTATTTATTTTTTAATCAGTTGAATGATTTTAGACTATGTCTAAGAAACAAATACAGCTTCTCAGAGGGTCAAAATTTTAATTATACCCTCACAAACAAAGTTTAGGGAAGTTATATAGGAGTCAGCTTGTCGGTCAGTTGGTCCGTCAGTCCACATCATGATTTCCGGATGATAACTAGAGTTTGGAATGAGGTATTGTAATCAAACTTGGTATATAGCAACCTTATGTGGAAACCCCGGTTGGTATTGCATTTGGACCACCTGGGGTCAAGGTCACAGTTACTAAAATTAGAAAGATGGTTTTCGGACAATAACTAGAGTTAGGAATGAGATTTTGTAATCAAACTTGGTGTAAAGCAAGCTTATAGAAGACCCCTGTAGGGATTGCAATTAATTGAAATAATTCTTTGTACATAAGTAATACTTCATTTTCTGTAGGTTAATTTCAAATTCTTCTTCAGACCACTTATTTTTCAAAAGTCAAAGTTGCGAGTGGGTGGAATAATCACCTACAGTAATAGGTGTAGTTTCTGAAAGATTTGGCGAAAATATGGAAAATTGCTGCACAAACTGTTCTATAACTTTTACAATAAGTTCAGATGTGATTTGTTTTTCTGTTACTTTACATAATTTAAGGCCTGATTGTGACAGTTTTGAGCATTAAGTCCATCAATTGCTTGAAACCTTTATGATGAAGTATTTAAGAAATTGATACTTATTCAGAATTCTAAAACATAATGATCTTGAATTGTTTAAAATTGCATTGACTCACTTTTAACAGGAACAGAGCTGGAGTGAAAATGTACAATCATTGGTTCATAATGTACAATCATTGGTTCATAATGTACAATCATTGGTTCATAATGTATAATCATTGGTTCATAATGTACAATCATTGGTTCATAATGTATAATCATTGGTTTATAATGTATAATCATTGGTTCATAATGTATAATCATTGGTTTATAATGTACAATCATTGGTTCATAATGTACAATCATTGGTTCATAATGTACAAGTTCATAATGTACAATCATTGGTTCATAATGTACAATCATTGGTTCATAATGTATAATCATTGGTTTATAATGTACAATCATTGGTTCATAATGTACAATCATTGGTTCATAATGTATAATCATTGGTTCATAATGTACAATCATTGGTTCATAATGTACAATCATTGGTTCATAATGTACAATCATTGGTTTATAATGTACAATCATTGGTTCATAATGTACAATCATTGGTTCATAATGTACAATCATTGGTTCATAATGTACAATCATTGGTTCATAATGTATAATCATTGGTTTATAATGTATAATCATTGGTTTATAATGTACAATCATTGGTTTATAATGTATAATCATTGGTTTATAATGTACAATCATTGGTTCATAATGAACAATCATTGGTTCATAATGTATAATCATTGGTTCATAATGTACAATCATTGGTTTATAATGTATAACCATTGGTTTATAATGTACAATCATTGGTTCATAATGAACAATCATTGGTTCATAATGTACAATCATTGGTTCATAATGTACAATCATTGGTTTATTTTTCAGTAACTTATATGAGACTAGACAAAAAGATGTCAGAGCTACATTATTAAAGAAATGGCAGGTAAGTCATCATGTAACTAAACATTACATAAGAACATTGTAATTTAAGGTTAGATAATTCTCAATATCTTACCTAGTGGGTATAGATATAGTATAGGTCAAAATGGGTAATTTCTCTTTTGTTACCTGTATTTTCACTACTTTGTATGAAAAAAACCATTGGGAGTGCCATGCTTTCTTCATGCTAGTGTGATGTCATTTAACTGATATGTTTGGATTATTAAACTTCTTTGGCCTTCATTGTATTATATGATGCTGTTTTTACATTGTGCACTGAGTAACAAAACCAGTTAAGCAGTTAATGGACAAGTTTTGGTGCCTGCTTTTTTGTTGAGAATTTTATCTTATAGAATATGAATTTACCAAACCTGGAAATGAAATTGAATTGTATTGATAGATATACATGTAATAGAAATATTGAAATGTTGTTTATAAGTTGTACAAACAACTGTACCTTTTGGTCTTCAATGTAAAAATTGAGTCTTTCCTGAAATATTTATAAAAACAAAATGTATTGAATAGAGGGCTCTTACAGCATATTCTGTTTCTAACTGGTGATACTGTATGACAACATTATTATTTAATGTATTATTATTTGAGCAATTATATAAAAGTTTGTTAAGTTATTTCTTGTGTTTAACAGGTAGATGATGAAGTTAGAACAGCCCCTGCTAAATCCCGACCACAAGAGAAAATACAGAGTCTTTTGGGTGTAAGTATTGCTTTGTATCATGTCATATACAGTGGAGCCTTGCTTATCCGAACCCTTCTAATCCGGAATCCTTTCTAATCCGAACGAAGTGTCCGGTCCCGATTTTATCCGTTCTATTTTTAATAGTAAAAAACCTTTCGGATACGGAACCTGTCTACTCCGAATTCCGGACGATTTTTTCAATTTTTGTTCTTATTTTACTCTAAAATTTACCTCTCGGATCCGAACAGATTTTGCCAAATGTCACACCTTCATTCAAAATAACAAATAATCGCACATCTTGCAGGTGTAAACATACACCAAACTGATAAGTGTTATTTCGCTTGATTAATGGGTGAAACGTATGATCTGCGAAGGTGTGAAAATTACACTTAGCTTGCCTTGATATCTTCTATAATTGCTTAATTGATTGTTTTTCGTCAGTTTTTCGTCAGCTTCTATAAATATTTTGATATAATGCAATAGAAATATCTTTTAATCCTTTGTATTGGATTCAATGATACGTGATTAAGTAATGAAAATTAATGTAAACTGTCAGTAAATTCGGATAGTCGCTGAATCGGATAAGAGTAAACAACAACTGACAAATGCTGGTACGAATATCTAATCATGTCTCGGCCTCCTGTTTAACATCGTAGGTTAACTTACCCTAGAGGACATAATATTTTTGCTTATTTATTTATTTTTATTTCTTTATTTTTGTATTTAGATGTATTAAAATGAACGGTAAGAGACTGCTAAATAAAATATCTAAATTGCAATTTCAAATACATTCCCGTTTTCTTTCCTTAAACTATTTTGCAAATAACATGAAAAAAACATGTAAAAAAAACCTTCTAATTTGGAAACCTTTCTAATCCGGAAACCTTTCTAATCCGAACTTTTCTTCTGGTCCGGACGAGTTCGGATTAGACAGGTTCCACTGTATATGTATATATATGATAAATGCACTGTTTCCAAGCAGCCATATCTTCATTATTCGAAGAAGAACTTGTGAAAATGAAAACCAGTTTCAGTATAGACAGAGAGATGATTCTTAACAAATGCTTTATTATTTTGAATTGAATTTCATTTGTGTACTGTTGAAGATTTTCACACAAAATGAGCAAATATGAAAATAATTTAAGTTTTCTGTGTGTTTGAAAAAAGAAAAATGCATTGAACAAAAAAATAGTCACCTTGGGATCAATGATTGCTGACTGGTGGACATAAAGCGAAGGTCTAAAAAATAGAACTTTGGCTATAGATTCAGTTACAGTTCTTGACAGTACTCTCAGTGCTTTGATTCTATATTTTGTCATAGCGCCTTCATTTATCAACCAATATTAAAGATATTCTTGATGTATTTAAGGTTACTTGGTCAAGGTCATTAAGGCTAAAATACATTTTTGTTACCTTTGTATATGAAGCTTAACATGTTATTTTTGTTGTCGACAGTTTAATTGTGTACATTATAAAGCATTTGTTTCTGTACAGAATGATGACATGAGTTATTTTGATCATGTGACAGAGAAATTATCTGTGGAAAATTTACGAACAATCAAAGGTGTATATGATTATAGATGTATGGTAACAGGCGACAATCCAGATAAACACATGTATATACTTAGTCTTGGGGTAAGCACTATTATTTATTACATGCTTTCCGGTGGTTTGTAGAAATATATCAGTGAAATATAAAACTGATAATTTCACTGTTTGAAACAGAGATTATCAATTTGATAATTTCACTGTTTTGAATTTAAGCCCCTTACATTGTTTCAGTGAAATACCAGCGTGCACAGTACTGGAAACCAACTTAATAACGTGACGTCGTAAATGACGTCACATTGTATTATTATTTGGCGCACTTTTCATTTAGTATTAGCTTAAAATGTCTTTTTAAATGTTTCTTTGTATATAATAAAAAGAAAATTTGTTTAGTTTAGTGTAAGATCAAAATATATTTCACATTGTGAACACCAAAAGTTCATATTACACTTGTGGCTGGGCCACTCGTTAAATATACCTTTTGGTGCTCACTTGGTGAATATATTCCAATCTTACACTGAACTAAACAAATATCCCCTATATAATAAAAATGTAAGAAATGTGTCTCACAGTAAAAATTGTTTCGTCAAAATCAGGACACATTACATGACAAGTAATATATGAATATATACAGTGACATCAATAGATACACCCCGTGAAAAATGCATTTTGGTTGATATGGCAAGTTTTCATCCATTTCAGAAATATTTTTTTCTTTAAATGACCTTGAATAATAATGCATTTATAAAGTCTATAGGCAATAATGAATTACACTCAGCTGGTGTAATTATTATTTCAGAAATGTTTTAAATCTTTGGATATAGTCCATTAAGCAATTTATAAGAGGTGTAAGGGTATTTATGAATGACACTGTGTATATTTTAGATGTATCTATGGTATAATGTTAATAGCTGATCAGTAGGGACATAGATATGTTTATACTATTAGTTATACAAGTTACTGAAGAGATAATAACCTGAATGAGATAATTATAACTTGATTATTATAACTTGATAACTATTACTTGAGGCGCTCCTCAAATTGGTCATATATTTAAAAAGATTGACTGTTATAATGGTCATTGACCAATAATTGATATTTGATAATAAAAACTTTTTGGATAAGATATAACAACTGCCTAATTAAAGACTGCCCCACTCTTTTTATCTATTAGATATGATGGATATTTATTAAATTTTCTGTAAGTTATATGGGTAATTGAATGCATACATGAACTTGATGACTTTGAACTTGACGACTTTGAAATTGAATGCAGTTACGTCAAAATCTAAAGTTGTTTTGACTTAGACCTGTACACCCACAATTTACACTTCGATAGGCAGGCTGTCATACTCTAAATATGTAAAAAGAAAAAGTACAAGTAATTCAAATACATGTATGAGGAAGCAAGTTTTTTTCTTTAATTTTAGAGGTCATCTGTGTTTCAAAGACAATGTAGACCTAATGCTCGCTGGACTAAAATGGAAGATGGTTTAAAAATAGAACTACCTCGAGATACATTAATAGAGGCAGAGATTGTGATTGAGCTGAGAGGGGAGGTAATTCTGTATAATATTGTTAACATCAGAAAGTGAAAAAAGACATGTCAGTATATTTACTCAAAACCTACTGGTGGCATCTGAATCTATCCATGTGACCAGTGCACATCTGTGCTGTCCAAACATGGTCTTCAGTTTGCTATGCAGTCAGTAAATATTTTGAATTTGTTTCTGAAAATGATGAATGGTTTTGTCCAGATTGATAGATGTCATAACATGTACATTTAAGATATTTAGCATTTAAAGGATTCAATTGACTGTGTGATATTTAAGTAAAAAGTATAAGTAAAATTTTATAATATATATCATAAAATATATTGTACCAAATACAAATTTAGTGACTTCTGTATAACTCACTGACAGAACAACATGTCAAGTAATGTTTCTTTATGTTACTGGTAAATATTTGTGTTTTTTTTTTAATGAAATATTGAATATTTTGTAATAAAACAGCATATAAACTCTCTGTAGGATTTTGACTTCATGATTGGAAAATAAAAAGATGAAATATACATGTGAAATAATGATTGTATTTTAAGGGAACTGGACAAAGGAAGATCACAACAATGCATGCACTAGATGCCCTCTTCCTGTATGGTAAAGACGTTAGAAAATTACACTTCATTGAAAGGTTAGTATGTTAAGTCAGTTATAGATCACTTAAATTTTGAAAGCCTACATAGCTGATTAGTTTAGACTGTTGAGTAAGAATTATTTTCCCCCACATTGCAATTTGCACTTCTAGTGCCAGTGCTATACAAAATATTTTATGTTGTATTCAGATTGTATTCAGTAAGCTTGCCAAACCATGTTGCATATACCCTTGTGCTTATATAGTATTACCTCTACAGCTTATATAGTATTACCCCTACAGCTTATATAGTATTACCCCTACAGCTTATATAGTATTACCCCTACAGCTTATATAGTATTACCCCTACAGCTTATATAGTATTACCCCTACAGCTTATATAGTATTACCCCTACAGCTTATATAGTATTACCTCTACAGCTTATATAGTATTACCCCTACAGCTTATATAGTATTACCCCTACAGCTTATATAGTATTACCCCTACAGCTTATATAGTATTACCCCTACAGCTTATATAGTATTACCCCTACAGCTTATATAGTATTACCCCTACAGCTTATATAGTATTACCCCTACAGCTTATATAGTATTACCCCTACAGCTTATATAGTATTACCCCTACAGCTTATATAGTATTACCCCTACAGCTTATATAGTGTTACCTCTACAGCATATATAGTGTTACCTCTACAGCTTATATAGTGTTACCTATACAGCTTATATAGTGTTACCTCTACAGCTTATATAGTGTTACCCCTACAGCTTATATAGTGTTACCCCTACAGCTTATATAGTGTTACCCCTACAGCTTATATAGTGTTACCTCTACAGCTTATATAGTGTTACCTCTACAGCTTATATAGTGTTACCCCTACAGCTTATATAGTGTTACCTCTACAGCTTATATAGTGTTACCTCTACAGCTTATATAGTGTTACCTCTACAGCTTATATAGTGTTACCCCTACAGCTTATATAGTGTTACCTCTACAGCTTATATAGTGTTACCCCTACAGCTTATATAGTATTACCTCTACAGCATATATAGTATTACCTCTACAGCTTATATAGTGTTACCTCTACAGCTTATATAGTATTACCCCTACAGCTTATATAGTATTACCCCTACAGCTTATATAGTATTACCCCTACAGCTTATATAGTATTACCTCTACAGCTTATATAGTATTACCTCTACAGAGCAACACCCTTTTTGAAGATAAAGATTTTCCTAGGTACCGAAGAGGGATACTTTATTTCTTTAGAGGGGTTAAAATTTATTGTGATGTCTTACTTTGGGAAGAATGGATCTTGTTGTTGTATAGAGGTAATTGCTTAACGGAGAGCTGCTCTGTTGGTGTTATACTGTATATATATATATAAGTAAATTTACACACCAAGAGGCATTCTTGTTCACTTTATTCATAAAAAAAACAGTATATATTTACCTTACAAAGATTTTGTTTTGTTATTAACGAAACATGTAAAATAAATGAATAGTTTCTCTCATGTTTTGTTTTGTTTCAGAATACAAAAGCTGAGAAAATTTGCCAAAGCAATTACAAAATTAACAAGAAGTGACCTTGTAAGATTAGTAGTTCCTGAAGTATTCAGATTTGAGGAAATTGGTCAAATATTTAGCAGGTACATGTACATACAAATTTTCATTTTCCTATGCTGGAATCGCTGATGTTACTTTACTTATATAGGATAGGCATTTTAAGATTTTCTATTCTTAAACAAACTGAAAAGCCCATAGCTTAGATATTGCTTTTGAGAGTAGCATTATCTACTAGGCTTCTAAAAAAGCTGGTCATTTCCATGGGGTAACATTTGCTGGCTAGACATATACAGGAAGGAATCTTTTTGAAATATTGTTTTTGAAACTATACTCAAAGGCTGAGAAATTAGTATTGTCCTGTATTGTCTTCAAAATTTGGTGCTGTGGTAAAAAATGGCAAAATCTTTGAGAACTTTCTATCTACATTTAGCCTAAAATGAACCTCCTGTTGCTTTTCTTTTAATATCCGTGACTTAGATCATCAGGTAAAAGCAGTTTACTGCCATGACAACCCCAGTAATTTTATTATCAAGACATAAATGTCAAATGACATCACAATTGCCTGTGGGCTCAGGCTTTAAATGCATACATATGCTCCTGCAGAGATTAATACAGGAAACAAGGTGTGTCAATCCTCTACTATCATATTTTTAGGTTGAAGTTGAAGAGAGTGAAAGGTGGAGGTCAGTTTGGCAGGTTATGCTACTGTCCTAAAGATAATGTTGATGAAAGGTTCTTTCGACCCACTGGAATACATATCATTAGAACTGTCAAAGGTCAGTCACATTATATTCTGATAATTTGCTGATTTTACAAAATATTACAGTAAAAGGAATTTTCATATCTAAAAAGCACATGTCATTTACCATGCATATTTGCCAAAATAGCGAATTATGGGTCATTTACTGCTGCACCTGCTTAAAATAAGATATGAAGAGCCACATGCGACACTTAGTCCTTTTCACAAAATGATACCATCATAGTTTACTGTTGATATAATGCTGTCTTAATACTGATTGTCTTCTTTCATTGGACTATTCAGTGTTGTCATCAGTATTGTCATATTTACATACAACAAATACTTGTTCATTTAGATAATCAAGGTGGTATCTTATTTGAAAATCCTTCAATAAACATATGATTATCTTTGCAAAGTAATTTTGATTAAATGAATCAATAAAACATGGCTGCATGCATTTGTTTTATTTGACTATTTGAGTTATTTGAAATCCCACAAGAAAATGCTTAGAAGGTGACATTTAGTTCAATGTAAAATCTTGGAACAGTTTTGTAGACTAGCTATATATTGAATTCTAATCTCTACCTTATCTCTAGAGATCTTAATGAGGTCTGATTGATTTGTTATTTGATAATTTAAGTATAAAGATGACAACAGGTGTATATTTGTTTTGATATTATATATTAACATGTTGTGTTTTTCATATTCTGTAGAACCATGGACTATGCAATGGAGTAGATCACAGAAACGGAAATATTTCTTTAACTTACATAATGGAGAATCTAAGTTTGATTGTCCACCAGATAGTATAGCTAATGTCAAGTAAGTGACTAGAGTAAATTAGATAATGTATATAAGTATCTGTCATGTATGGCCAACATTCATTCTAAATGAAACTTGGTCAGGATGTTTGTATAAAAGATACCTTAAAACATGTTTAAAATTGGATGATCTGAGTCCAAAGAGGTCAAAAGGTCAAACTAACTTGTGTCAAGACTTTGGAGGTTAAAGATTTTTATAAAAAAAAAAAAGAAAAAAGAAAACGTAAACATAAGGATAAATGAACCTTTCCCCTCAGAAATTTGCCAAATTCATGTTATAAACAATAAAGGATAATTTATATGATGGAATCAACATCTGATGAAACTGCTAGTTTATTGATTATTATGTTCAATCTCAGCTGAACATTAATATATAGAAAACAGTAGCGACACCTGCTAAAAAATTTTTTAAAAATTGCAATGAAATTGATTAATTACCAAATGTCTACACTTAATAATTTTTAACACAGGCTAGCAAGTGGCCGACCTTTCAAAACATATGAGGGGATAAATGTCCACTACAGCAAAATAAGAGGGCAAATGACCAGGTGGAAAATATCTGAGGGGGAAAGCGTCTTCCACTGCAAAATGAGGGGGCAAATTTCCGACTGGGCCAATGTCCTTGAATTAGATATGATACAAAAATTTAATATGTAAGCAAAATGCAAATCAGATGCAAATGAGACAATTTAAATTTTCTCATCGTTATGAATATTCATGTTAATTATTTTATATATCCAAAGCAAAGAAAGCTTATATCACCACTGTGCATGTATTACATATACTGTATATTATTCGAATCATGGAAATAAGATGATGTCAGAATTGTTTTGTATTTTTCTAAACATTTCAGGTCAACAAAGTTGCAAAGTTTTCATTGGGCATGGGAGGAAGGTGTGAAGTTGATAGAAGACCAGCAAGGTGATGAAGATGACTCTAAATTATCAAAGGCAAATGTGATGGACTATCTACACAGACTGTTGCCCCCAACATGAAACATTTAAAGCATAATATAAGTGCCAGGAAAATACTAAATCTTGACATTCAAGTCCTGATTTTGCAGCAGAATGTCACAGTGGAACGTCATAGTACAGTGCCGTATATCATGTGATATATAATTGATTATGGTGTTGCTATATCAGATGTTAAATGGATAATTCATGTCTGAATGATTATTGAAATTGAACGAAAGATATTTAAGTAATGAAATTATCAGATCTTAGGTGAGACTTCTTTGAGAATATGTCATAATTGTAGCCAGTGCTGTTTGAGAGACACTGTTATAATCATATACATTCTCATTTTTAGGGATATTGTGAGCTATTGTACTCACCCAGACGTTGGCATTGGTGTCACACTTTGGTTAAGTTTCTGCATGCATGTTAGTTTCTCCAAAATTACCGAAGGGAATGGGTTGAAACTTCACACCTTTATTTGAGAGCATAATAGATGGTCACTGACCAAAGTCCATAACTCTAACATGGACTATGATAGGATTATGGCCCTCTTTGAACTAAGAAAATTCTACATTATCCAGGCTCTTGTTTTACTATCAATCACTGAGAATAGTGGAGCATGCTGGTCTACTGACAGCTCTTGTTTGAATTAGTGCCATCCTTATTGTTACTGTCATGTTACAGTGTTTATATGTGTGTGTGACACTGTAACATTTGTGAATGCTGTTGACTTATTTTATCAGGTTGTGTTTGTATCAATGACTTTATACAATACATAATTAGTGAGTGATACAAAGGGTATAGTAACTTATTTTACAAGACCTTAGTATGTAAGACCTCAGTAAGTTATATGTAAGACCTTAGCAAGTTATATGACTTATTATAATGAATGTTAGAATTTGATAAGTATCAGTTTGTTGATGGTCATGATCTTAGTGTTATTTCTGTGAAGAATGTTTCTTGGAGTATGACAAGTAGCATGTACATGTACACAGTTTCCTGCTTTATAACTGTTATAGTATAAAGATAAACTATTTAGTCTTTAAATGAAGTGATACCTTGTGTTAAAGTTTATTAAATGATATAACACATTATAATCAACTACATGTAATGTCATAACATGTTGTTAAACTTGATTAAATTTTCTTAGTTTTTAGCTCACCACACCTGAGTACATAGTACTGAGAGGTGAGATTTTGTGATTGCGATCGATCAAAATTGACCAGGCCTTAAAATTGATGTGGCCCCAGGATAACTTTATTTATATAGATTAATATAGAAAACACATTTAAGTTGTCTTGTGCTAAGGGCTTAAATATTTGGCATTTAGTTTTGCCTACTGTAGTGGACCTCTTCAAAAGACACTTAAATAATCCCCGTGAGTGATGTAGTGCACTCGTGGTTCTCTCATCTTAGTCATATATTTTGATTGTAATATGAATTTGTGTCAGTGGAGTTACTTTAGTTCAAATTTTAACGGGAACATTTAACTAAAAAGGTTACATTTTGACCCGGTGTTAGATGTGTTGGGTTTTCATGCCTATCTTAATTTTCTCAGTTTATATGTAGTTGTTTTGACTTATATTCGGTCACTTTGACAAGACATGTGAAAATTGACCTGTAATGTATTTCATGAACATTTCAATGCACCAAAGAAAAAGATTTTAAATTTGTTAAATTGTTGTGTCATTTATTTTTGCCCTTTAAACGTTGTAGATTTTTTTTTTAAATATAACACTTCTGTATAGATTTGTCTGTGTAGGTGGGTTTACTGTACTATACAGTTTAAAATAAGATTAACAATTGACAGCTTTTTATCTTACCCAAGCACAACCTACTTATAGTGAGCTATTGTGATTCCCCTGTCATCTAAAATTTCTTTGAACATCTCTGAAACCAATAACTGGACATTAGCAGAATGTTGATAAAAGCGTTTACTATATCTGTGGTAAATAATCATCTTTGTGCATTATTTCAATTGTTCCCTCTGAGTCATAAACAAAGTAAGTTGTATTTTGACAATGTATTATTTTAACCACAATAACAGCCCAAATTGCCAAAAAGCAAAAGATAGTTCAGGTAATTGGTTGAGCTAATGAGTAACTTCTTGGAAACTTGGACAGTACATCAAATAAAAATAAAAACAATGCTGATGCATAATGGGCCTTTATTCACAGACAAAGATCTTCAATTAAGTTTCTAATATAATTCTAATGTGAACTTCAAAGACGAGACGTTACCTTCCACACTATATGGTTTAATGTAATGTTCTTTAGCAGGTCAGGAGTCATAAAAAACAAACATAGATTAATCTTTCTTAATTCTTTTTACAACATTTAATTTTAAATAAATAAACACGTGTCAACTTAATGTTCAAGAAGTTGTTTCAAATAGTCATATCACAGGCTGAATTAGAAAATCTATATAATCATAAAGTACAACAAAATCTCCACCTGTTTGTTAATCATATAGTTTGATACAATCCAACGATATTTCAGCAAATAAAAAGGTTCATCTACATAACAGTTATTGTAGTTTTCACAAGTCGTGAGCATCTAAATACAGCAATATTCGTTGTTATATATGGCCTGGAAAAAACAACAACAAATGTTTGACAGAATTTTACTTGCTCGGTTGATGCTGTAATAAAAAGCCTACAGTCTATTATAGAAGAATATTAAACATAAGCTATCACTTCTCGGCAAATAAAGATGGCTTGATTTTATTATATTATTGTCATCTAGTAAATAGTTAACTATCAACCACAGACGGACAGAACTAAGTTCTCCTCAGATAAACGAGGAAGCAATCAGATTTATTACAGTGACCCGCCTGCCAGTCTGTAATCCCCCACACTATATATATAACATGATAGACGCTTGAAGACGCTAATATTAAACATTGAGAAGTGCAGCTCCTGATTTGTTATTGGCGCTCTAATTTTACCAATATCATCGTACAAACTGTTTAGATAGCATCGTGCCTTCATTCATTCACAGACTTGTATTTATAACAGTAACACGGTATTTATTATCACATGGTTTGATGTACTATATTCCTGCTGTAATCTACATGCCCGAGCCACCAAAACAGTACAGTTGTAGGTATTTATTTTTATTATCAGACCTATTAAGACTCTTGGCTCCAATAAAGAGTAAAGCACCAGTAAATTGATCCATAAATCATATTTTCATGTGGCGAGGCGGTACAAAGTACTTCCATAAAGTAAACGCCACGATTTTCACAAAATGTTTCTTTGCCATTTTCATCAAAACGCAACTATGGTTAACCGAATTCATTGATCAATACTGTCCATTCTTAAAACTAAATAATGAAAGTTTATGTTTTGAAATATGTACTTTTTGTTGATTATTTTACTATTATAATTTATGATTTCATCCGCATTTGATATGGAAGTTAACAACGACGTCGGTCGCCTAAACAAAGCCGTATCAAAGTGTAGAACTTCTGTTTCACAGATAAAAAAAATCTGCTATGTGTACCCGTTATTGTTCGCTTTTCACTTCAAAAAGCGTATATCACATGTCACCCACTTGCTTCACTCTATTGCACATACAATGTTCAGCAGCTTACACTGTCCTTTTCACCTTTCCATGCATCGACAGTGTTTGATTTGTTTTATCTTTTTATGCTTGTAACCTTTTGTTTTACCCGGACATTTCAGTGTCACAATTATTGTATGTGTCTTCTTCGGCTCACAAAATCCGCACGATTTGAAAAACTTTCTCTTAGTCCGTTTCCGAAGTGTTTTCGGAATATAAAAAGAATTGCATTGGCCATAACAAAACCGATTTAGCACTTTTCTACTTATACACCCGGGTTCTTTGATAAGTTGCAAAAAAGGTTCGGTTTTACACCAGGTCTTTTTAAATTTTCCCACCATTGTAAGGGTTAAGTTTGATTTTCGTCCACTTATTAATGGTGGTTCCCTTCGGTTGTCACTAACTATAGTCATAGTGTTATTCCTTCTAATATGACCTACTCGTGCGTTAATTCCGTCTTTTTCTCCAATTAGTCCGTTATTGACGTCGGTTTCGTTAACTTTTCTATTATTTTTACTTGAGGTAAGCATCTTGAATATAAACCTATGTCGCTTCTTTTCACTTTCCGCCATAGCTGGACACTGCATGTGAAATACAAACAACCCAAACGTGAAGATAAAGGACCAATTCGCGTCCACCTTCATTCTTACTGACGTGTTCGTTAACCTGAAATGATAAAAAATATAAACTTATTAATTTTAAATTCACATAATTAAATTATGATTCAATTCTTATTATTAATTCATAATTATCTTTGTGTTTCCCTTGCTCATATTTTCTTTTACCATCAGAGCTGTCACTTGGACCTGTTTCAAAAGTAATACCACCTGTTGGTTCCCTTTTTAACCACATTATTTGCATTTTTGATAATAACGAACATTGTTTTATTAAGCTGTACATAATTGCTTTAAGGAGCATTGATCATAAAAAGAATACGCTATGTATAAATATGAGATGTGACATCTATAGAACTGAGGTTCAGTGTAACCACGCACCATTCGCTGTCACATTGCTCTTACGTTCAATTATCAAAACGTCGAATCTATCCCTCGGTTACGCACGCCTATCTCGATCTTGGCGCACGACCTTGATAATGATGCATTTTATGTTGTTTGCTTAATAATGTCTTGCTTCGAAAATTAAACACTTAACGTCTGTCGGTGATGCATCAAACAATACGCTCTTTTGTTTCGAATTAAAACGAAATTTGTAACAATAGCTTTATGGTCTGTCGTATCATTGAGAGGCGTTTGGCGTCAGTTTGGTGCGATTCTCTGCAAGTGATGCTGCTAATATTGCAATTCATCTATGTATTAATCAGCAATTTAATTCTATCCGCAGTTTCCGCGAAGTTTTCAGAACAAACGCGTTAATTAGGCTTTATTAATCTGGTATAGAACGCCTCTTTTCGCCCATTTTCGAGACATGAACATTCTTTGAAGTTTAAGGGGTGTATGTTATAGATAAGTATCAAAGTGAGCAAAGTGTATGTTCCCAAATATTGCAAGATAGTTTACCTGTTGAATTATTGAGTCTAAACATTTCACACATTTTCGTGAAACGAGATGAAGAAGTTATCTATCAACCTTGATTATCCAATTAATTATTCGAGAGAAAATTCAATATTTTTCGCACTTTTTAACTTTTACTTCGTAACATATAAAATTATTTACGAAACATTACAGGTGCATTAACTTTATTTCTTAAACGTTACATTTACACTATAACTAGAACATTCACAGTACTGGTACATTGTAATTATCATCAGAACATAAACAATACATTTACAGAACATTCACTTTGAAAGTGAAGGAACAAAATTACAATAGTCTTGTTATCAGGAAGAAAAAATGAGCATGAACATTATTACTTTTATTAGTGTATTAACTTTATGTTATGAGCATTTCAGTGTAATGACTATGTTACGAACATGAACATTTTAGTGTAATGACGTTAAGACACGGGCATGAACATTTCTACTGATTGCCTTTACTCACAAACATGTAATTACTATCGCATCAACTTTACGTCACGAACATGTACATTGCTATGATAATGATATTAACTTAACGTCACGAACATGTACATTGCTAACGTATTAAGTTTACGTCACGAACATGTACATTACTATCGTATTAAGTTTACATCACGAACATGTACATTGCTATCGTATTAAGTTTACGTCACGAACATGTACATTGCTATCGTATTAAGTTTACGTCACGAACATGTATACATGACTTGCGTATTAAATGTAGTCACGAACATGAACAATATTAATGTATTTTATTACGTCGTCACGAACATAACATTATTAGTGCATTTACTTTCTGTCCCGAACATGTACATTACTAGTATATTGACTTTACATCACAATCATGTTAATTACTAGTGTGAAGAACATGTTCACGAGTATATCAAGTAGATGTACGTTTACAGGAACATTTACATTGATGTTGTATTTAGTTTTACTTCTTGTGGTATTTCATGAATGGCTTCATTCATTCGTTCGGTTGTTTAGATTTAAGCGTCCATAACATTTTTGAGTATTTTCAGTAGAATTAGCAAATTGCCTGTAGTCGGCCACACTTAGCGGGAAAATATTTACACGTTTAAATTCATTTTTATACTGAAGGTCATAATTAATTAAGACTCACCTTTGATGAAAATTTAATAATGTTGACTTTTTAAAATAGCATGCACTGAAGATGAAATAAGCATATTCACGGAAAATTTACAAAGAATTTTAAAACGCCCGAAATCTCGATTAATTTAATTAAAATCAGTGTTTTAGAATTCATTATCTTTATTCAGGTAAATGGACCGACAATTTAAATGATAAGGAGCTGCTATCTTAGATCGTTTTAGAAGCAGAAAGGTACGTTTTGCTTTTGATTTAGATGTACCATTAGCTGTTAAAAGAAAAAAAAACAAATGCTTTATCTTCTACGTATTTTGAGCATATCTATCGGTGTAACATAGTATATTCGGCGTCGGGAAAACTTTATAAAGTTAAACGGATGCAATAAATGTATATTTTAATGTAGATGAGACACTTTGAATAAACATTAATGTACAAAATAAAAGCTTTAAGTACTGAAAACACCTTTTTAGG